ATGAGCCTGGATGTCTAGCACTCGCGTAGGCACCTTGCTGCGTAGTCACCCTGCTGTCCGCACAGCTCTTCACATGGCTGTGACCCAGGGCGCTGTGAGTGCTCTGTGCCTGGCAGGGACCTTTTGCTTGAGAACTTCCTCTGCGCCCCTCTCGCCCTTCTGACTCTGGATGGTTAATGCCAGGTGGGAAGTGTGGAGACCACGCCAATTCTTATCTAGAGCAAGGAATATTCTTCCTGTGAGCACTGGGTCTGCGTTCTCCGCGCTCTGCCAAGAATATAATTCTCCAGGCCAGGGGCCGAGGTGCAGCCCCGATTGAGCTGTCAGAGTGCGGTGTCGGAGGCTCTGCAGCCCGAGGTGACCGCTCGTTATGAAAAGTGATGGTGTGTACTTTGTCTCCGGACCTGAGCGGGGTCAGCATCATGCTTGATTAAAGAGAAGTGTTTGCCTTCTAAGACTTTTTAGCTTGGATGTGCTGTACTGCCAAATTCAAAGACATATTTTGCCGTAGATGGAGATAAGTCACTTAGATAGGGTGTTTGATGTCTTCTTGAGCTTGGGTGAGTCCTGGGTAGCAGCTTCAGACAGAGAAAGTCAAGCAGAAACTGCGGCAGTCTGACCCCTACCACCAGTCATGTGGGATATTTCAGACCAAAAGGAGTGTGGGCTTTGAGATGTGGCTTACTGTTCATTTAATTTGGGTCTTAGTTATCAGTTGCTGCATGCAAATTAACCAAACAATGAGCAGATTAAAATGAGGCTCACTGTGTTGGACTTCTGGGTCTGGGTGGCAGGAGTGACCAGGACAGGCCACCTGGCTCAGGGTCTCTCACAGGCCACCCTTAGGCACCAGGCAGGACACAGCCAGGCGAGGACCTGCTGGTGTGCTGGTCAGGGGCTGGCGACGGCGGGAAACACCCCAACCCACAGGCTTTCCACAGGACAGCACACCAGGCGCAAGTGGCTTCCTTCAGAGGGCTGGGCAGGGCGGGGAGGGAGGCCCAGGATGGACGCCACACTCCTCTTGCACCTGAAGTCATGTGTTTGATTGTCCAGGATCCTCTGGGATGCCACATGCACACTGGTCCCGCAGGGGCTCTGGGCAGGTAGGGGCCTGGCTGCTATCAGGGACCACTGTTCTGGGAGCACCGACTCTTGAGGTCAGCCCTCACCCCTCCTCCAGAGTCAGCTCCCACTCCACCATCCAGTGTCTCCCGCTGGCAGCTGGGATTGGATCACCAAGCTCCCCACCCACCATGGGGGTGACGTATCTCACTGTGCTGGGTCTTCCGTACTTCTTTGCTCCACTTTCTAGTGATTGTTGTACAGCCCCTGTCACACATTTCAGGACAGCCGGTGAGTTGCAGGACTGAACCTGCACCTTAGCACTGTGATACTGGGGGGGTCCATCTGATCCCTGGCCCAGTCACCATGTGAACTTAGGGTTATTTCTAGAGTTCCCCGTTTTATACTCCAGGCTGTGGCTGACTGGAACGGAAGACTACAGATCAGAGGGGATGTGTGTACGCTGCGGGGTGAGGGCCCATGTCATTTTTCTGCCCGTGGACACCCGATTTCCTGCAAAGTTTATTGGAGGGAGTGCCCTCTCCCCCTTCTGAGGTCTTGCACCTCTTTCTGAGAGGAACTTGTGGATTTATTTCTGTGCTCTCTTCTCTGTTCGTTGTTAGATGTGTTTGAAGTTAGGTCAGCCCCTGCTGTGTGTTCTGAAGTCGGGGAGGGTTGTGCCTTGTCTGCTCAAGGTTGCCATGGCGATGTAGGCTCTTTGGTGGTTCCTAACAAATTTTGATTTTTTTATTTCAATTTCTGGGAAAATGCCATTGGGATTTGAGTAGGGGTTGCAGAGGTCACTTTGGGTAGTATAAATGTTTTAGCAATATTAATTCTTCCAATCCATTAACATGGGATTTTTCTCCACTTATTTGTGATTTCTTCTATCAATCAATGTTTCCTTTAGTATTCACTGGACTTTTACTTTGTTAGTTAAATTTATTCTGAAGTATTTTTGTAGCCATTATGAATAGGATTATTTTATTGATTTCTTTTTCAGGTAGTTTGTTTTATATAAATGCACTTGATGCTGTATGTTGATTTAGTGTTCTGTAGCGTAACTAATTTTTAAAATAATTATTGCATTTTGGTAGCATTATTAGGGTTTCCTGTGTGTCAGATCATGCACTGGAGAGCAGAGACAATGTTGCCTCTTTCCCTCTTTCCGCTGCTGACCGGTTTATTTGTTTCTGTGGCCTAACTGGCTGGGACCTCAGTGCTGTGCTGAACAGAAGCGGTGAGCGTGAGCACCTTCTGGTTCCTGACTTACAGAAAGGGCTTTTAGATTTACATCTGTGACCCCTGTGAGCGGGCTCAGCTGCTGTGGTGTTGAAACATATTCTCTTGATCCTTAATTTGTTGAGAGGGTTTTTTTTTTAAATCTTAAAAATGTGGATGTTGTCAGATACTTATTCTGCATCTTTGAGATGATCACGCAGTTTTGTTCTTTATTCTGTTAATCTGGTGGATCACAGTTAGGTGTTTGTGGATATCGAACCATCTTTGCATCCCTGGGATACAGCCCGCTTTCTTTTAGGAGGCTGTTGAATTCAGTTGAGTAGGATTTTGCTGAGCATTTTTGCAGTCTTATCATCTGCTATAACGGCCTGTGATTAAACAGACTTTTTGTGGTGTCCTTCTCTGGGGTTGGTATCAGGGTAACACTGGACTCAAAATGAATTTGGAAGTGCTCTTCTTCTTTAGTTTTTATGAGGAATTGATGAGGATTAGTGTCCTTTCTTCTTACGTGTTGGATGGTCCTGGCCTTTTCCTTGACGTGAGAGTTTATTACTATTCAGTCTTCCTCATTTTCAGTCTGTTTTTCTACTTCTTCACCATGTTGGATGAGAGGCATCTAGGAATTTTGTTGTAAACAGCTCATTGTAGTCTCTTACAGTTCTTTGTGGTAACTGATGGTGTTTCCTCTTTCATTTATGATTGTATCTGTCCTGTTTTCCCTAGTCCGAGTTTTATCAGTTTCGGTTACTTTTCGGAAAATAACCATTCTTTACGCTGAGCATTCTGTGTTTCCTGTTTTCTATTTTGTTCGTTTCTACTCTGTTCTTTCTCATTTCCTCACTTCTGCTGATCTTGGGTTTAATTTCTTCTTTTTTAGTTCCTCGAAGGGTAGTGCTGCATTATCTGAGGTCATTCCTTGTGTCTAGGCATTATTGCTATGAACTTCTCAGAGTTGCTCCTGATGCATCCCAAAAGTTCTGTGACATTGTCATTTGTTGCATATTTTAAAATGTCTCTAATTTTTTTCTTTCACTCATTGATTGTTGCAAGAGCATGTTGTTTAATTTCCATGTATTTGTGAATTTTCCAGAAATCTTCCTGTTACTGATGTGTAGTTTCATAGCACTAGCGTTGGTAAAGGTATTCGATGTGATTCTAGTTTTCCTAAATTTTCTCAGACTTGTTTTGTGGTGTAACATGTCTGTCCTGGAGAATTTTTCCCATGCCCTCAGGAGACTGTGTGCTCTGCTGCTGCTGGGTGGAGTGTCCTGCATGTGTCTGGTCTGTCCTTTAATCTAACCATTAGTTTAAGTCTGATGTTTCCCCTCCAGTTTTCTGTCTAGATCTGTCCATTGCTGAAAGTGAGGTACTGAGTTACTGCTGTGTCCTACAGGGTGCCTCTTCCTTCGTATCTACCTGTAGGGGGCGCTAGTGTTGGGTGCATACATACTTAACAATTGTTATATCCCCTGATGAATTGACCCTTTATTCATATATATATATATATATATATATATATATATATATTTTTTTTTTTTTTTTTGTACCAGCAAGCGAACTCACAACCCTGTGCTTGCCAGGCAGGCACTTGTGCCGCTTAGCTAAATCCTTGACCCTCCTTTATCACTATATGATGCCCTTTGTCTCATTTTAGTTTTTTATGTAAAATGTATTGTTTTCTGACATAGTCATAGCTATTGCATTCTCTTTTCATTTGTATTTGCTTGGAATATTTTTTCCTATCCCTTTACTTTCAGTTTCAGTGTCCTTACATGTGAAAAGCATGTCTTGTAGGTAGTGCATATATAGTTGGGTTTTGAAATCCATTCAGCCACTTTGTGTCAGTTGTTTGGAGAATTTAATGCCTTTGCATGCAAAGTAATCACTAATAGGCAAGGTCTTACCACTGCCTTTTTGTTCTGTGTTTTCTGGTTGTTTTACACATCTTTTATTCTTCCTGTCTTTCTTTTGATTATTGCTCCAGTGATATGCTTTGATTTCTAACCTTTTTATCTTCTATGGATCCACCGTAGATTTTTGCTTTTTGAGTGCAATTAGGCTTACACAGAGCATCATAGGATATTCTATTATAGAATAGAATATTAGAGGCTGATAACAATTTAACATAATTGCCTATAAAAGTCTACAGTTTATATTCCACCCTTCTCCCAACATTTTATGTTGCAGTTTACATTTATTTTATGTCTTCAACGGTGATTGTAGTTTGGTTCATGAACATTCTGTTTACAAACAATACGACTCTTAAACAAAGGTATTGAACGGAATTTTGGTTCTGTTTACAGACTCCAGGCTGCATGACAAACACAGCTGCAGCCAGGCTCCCCACACAACACAGATGCAGCCCTGTTCCCCCAAATCGTTGAGCAAATGAAGCCCATGAGCCAAGCTACCATCACATTAATTCTTTAAACCGTTCTTTTGTAAACTTTATACTTCCTGGTTGGATTTTAAGAGCAGGGACCTTGCGTTTTAATTCTCAGGTTCACATCTTGTTCCGAGTAATGCTCAACTTGAAATTCCGAGTGTGCGACTTTTGTGATGGGCATACCGTTTAGGGAGGGATGCTGTCCCACCCACCGATGCCTCACGCCATCACCCACACTTGTTTTGTCGCCGCTGGTCCTGAAATCCTACTAATGACATTCTCCTCTCTTCTCTCTTCCCAACTGCAGCCTGTGCATTCCGCTACAATGGGCTCTCCTTCGTCTACCTTATCTACCTCCTGCTCATTCCTCTCTTCTCAGAACCAACAAAAGCAACGATGCAAGGTAAGAGTCTTTACCGTTCCTGTACCACAGCTGTCCAGTCTGGGTGTGTGGTTTTGGCTCTGTGGCTTCATCTTTCTTTAGTGGGCAAGACGTTATCTGGGTACAAGGTGACCCCGTGGAAGTGGGGATCCTGCCTGGTAAGGGCCGCCCAGGTGGGGCTGTGGACAGCATGCTGTGACACCCACACCCAGATTGCTCCCCTGCAGATGTTACTGTCAGGTCCTTCGCAGCAGGGTGGCTTTGTGCCTGAGAAGTGTTTTACCCCCTGTCTTGTCAGGCAGACCTGGCAGGTGGCAGGCAGCGTGGGGCCCGTGCTACCCCTGGGTTGCTGAGGAGAATGCTCAGAGCAGGGGGTGGCATTTCTGGGGGATGCAGAGAAGATGCCCCGGCCATGCTCCAGTGAGATTTCTTAACACACGCAGCACCATGGGGCAGCAGCAGTGCGACTGCAGGTTTAGTTCTCGGCACCTTCCTGTAAAGCTGCAGGATGTGCTCACTCTCCACAAGACCTCACGGCACACAGAAGAGAGCAGCAGTGTTTTCCAAGGCCCTGATGAGGAAGAATAGCCTGGTCTGTGAATTTGATTTCATCAAAGTTCTTCTACAAGTATGACATGGAAATGACACTGAGTTAACTTAATACACTGCATTTTTAACATGTTTTTGAGTTCTGCGGAGCCCAGGACCTTTGCACTGAACGTCCCCAGTGCTTTTTTATTGTATTTTTTCAAGAGAGGATCTCACTCAGACACTGAGTTTAGGACTAGGCTTGGACTTGGGATCTTCCTGCTCAGCTTCCTAGAGATCTGGGATGATGGTTATGAGCTGGGCCAATTGTTTGGTTTTTTAAACACATTTCCATAACAAGAAATAAGGAGCATGGCGGGGCCACAGGTGAGTGTGACAGCTGTCTGTTTGTGTGAAGGAAAAGGAAGTGAGGTCTGACCTGACCCACAGAACGGCATGGGAAGGGCCATGATGCTGACTCCCTGGCTAATTTCAGGACCTTTGGGAGAAGCAGCTCAGACCTTGTGTATGCAGAGCAGCAAACCGTGGCCTCGACTTTCCTGTTCTGCAGAAAAGTTGATCTCTCAGTTTATGTAGCATATCATGACCCCGTGTCCTGGTTGCAGGACTGCAGATGCTGGCTTGATACTGTGGTCCCGAGAGGAGAGCTCAACGGTCCCTCAGTACTCACTGCCCAGGATTACGCACAGCTCATTAAAGGCAGCCTCCTTCCTGGAGAGCAGCCTGAGCAGAATGGCTCCTGGCCTCAGAAGCCAGATGGTACCACGAAGCCCACTCTGGTTTTGCAGCCTGGGGCTCGTTTCTCAGAAAGGTTTCAGGAGGTGGAGAACCCTGCAGCGCCTTGCAAACGTACTTTCCTACATCCCGTTAAATAAATGCTGGTACCAAGAGGACTCCTCTGGGTTCTGTGGGAGCTCAGGCAGCTGGCGCCCCATTCAAGTGGCTGCCCTGAACTGCTTCCCCAAGCCAGCAGTCCAGAGTGAGTAGTGAATCAGGTGCACAAGGGCCTCCACCCAGGCGAGCTGTGGACAGCTCCATGGAGAGGATTGCACTGCGTGAAGGGTAGAAAGCAAAGCTGAGCTCCCCTCGTGTGGCGCAGTGTCACAGGTCAGGGCACAGGCAGAGCACGGGTGGGTGCGCAGGTGTGGTAGTGCTGAGGATGGCAGGAGGGGAGGAAGCACGCATGCTAGCGTGCAGCCCACGTGCATCCCTCCGGTGCGTCCCAGACGCAGCAGTGTGACATTCTGTCTTCCCCCTTCCTGTGTTTCAGTGCCGAGAATCGCTACCGGTGTTCAGTGTGGCCAAGTGTGTGAGTTTATGGAATCGAAGGCAGATGGCTCTGGAAGGAAAGGCCTCAAGCTTTTCCTGTGTGTGTGCCCAAATGCCCCTCAAACCTGTGTTTGGAGGCCTCTTGGGTTGCTTCTCTGGCAGTGTGGGCCCCACGTGGTACCCAGCTGAGATAGATCCCACAGATGGGGTTTTCAGGGAGGCTTAGTTTCAGGCTTTGTGTTCTGACACCTTTCATGAGTCTGCTGACAGGTCCTCTCCCCTCATGGGGAGAAATTAGAGAACGTCACTGTCCCCGATCCCAGACTGTGGATCTCAGAGTGGATCTGAAGCCACGGTGCGGTGCGGCCCTGGCTGGGTGGTGACCTCAGGGTCTCAGACCTGCTCTGCTGCCCTCCACCCTCCAGCTGGGTTGATCGCATGTTGCTTCACCTGTGCCATCTATTGGGAAGCTGGTCCCTGGGAGCCTCATGGAGTAGCTTGTTAGTACATCTTTCTGAGGAAGGCAGAGGAGCTCAGTTTGCTTACTGCTGTATTTCCCAGGCATTTGGTACACACCCAGGAAGGGAAAAGGTGGCTCCACCTCCAGGACCCACATGATTTCTGTCCTGTGCCCACCTTGCCCTGGCCATAGCTACTGCTGTGGACCAGTGAATCGCAGACAGCAGGCTGCTGGAGATGGATGCTCACATGGCAGAGGCCAAGGGCTCTGCTCTTTCAGATCCAATCAGGATGGGAGGATCCAGAGCAGCTGAAGACAGCAAGAACATTAGACTGGGTCATGCTATTTCCTGCCTTGATGGGCATTTTATTTATACCTGGACACCCTGGGGAAGGAAACGAGCTCCTTCTTGCTGTCCACAAATTGTGCTTTGCGTGGAACTGAGAGCTCTGTTGAATCCAGTAACTCCATATGGCCAAGCATTGCAAGTTAGCAAGGTACCTCCAGACACAGGACAGGTGCCTTTTCCTGTGTGACGCAACGCATCAGGCAGTACGGTGCTGTTTGTGTCTTGTTTGGGTGGAGTCTTAGTATTAAAACCATAAGGATTGGCTGAAACTGTCACTATCAGTTTCAAGCGCATGTGATTTAACTACTCAAATGTCAGCATGAGCTAGATTTGGCCTCTTGAGGAGGTTACATAGCCACCCTTCCCTGAGGGAGTGTGGTGCTTTCTAATGAGTGAGCTGGGGATTTCCAACGTTGTTCTGCTGAGCCGTTCCCAGTGTCTCTGATGACCTGTGACGTGATGTTTAGGCTGTAACCCAGTGTTGGACAGCTGGTCCTGCTGTCTTCTAGCGTATGTGTGTGACTCCCATGTGTCATGAACTTCACTCTCAGGGGGACTTTTGATTGAAAATGACGCTCAGAAAGCTTTGTGTTCCAGGGGTGCACACGTGACCGGTGTGTGGGTGGCTACGCCCAATGCCTGTCTGACTTACTCTGGGCCACAGCGAGGTCCTCGGGCTGCCAAGGCAGGTAATGAATGCACACTGGCCGACAGACTGCCAGGCTTGGCCTGGGGCCTGGGGGACCATGGGAGCAAGCCGAGGGAGCAGCTTCCATCTCCTCGGGTGCCTGTTCTGTGGAGCACAGCGCGGCAAGTGTGATGAGTACTTTCTTTCAACATGCGTTAATCAAAAGACTCTTCAGGCAGCTCCACGCTCGGGTGTGGAGGATGAGAAGGTATAGAACATACTGTGCTTCTCTGGAGGGTTGGACCTTACGCACCTCTTTGAGTGGTGGCTTTTCCATGGCGTCTGCAGCCACCTGCTCACTGTGGTGGTGCTGTTGCTGCTCTGTGCTGACTTCATGTCACCTGTCAGAACTGTCTCAGAGCTGGAACCGTGGTCCTGGGCAGATGATCTAATTTGCCCAGAGTTTGGAGTCAGGCTTGTGTGGGGGAAGAACTGGTGATGAAGTGAGTTATACTGATTGCAAAAGAAAGAAAGCAAAGCAATCAGCGTGAAGCAAAGGGTCTCAAGGCCACGTTCATCATGAATAGGAAGGCTGGAGGCTGATTTGGTAAGGACAGCATGGCCGGCACACATGACAAACTGATGGGTGTCTGCCCGCTGAGTTAGTGTGCAGGGATGGTTTCTGCCATCTCATGCACTGTTGGAAGAGACCCCAGGTGAGCAGGCGGCAGCCTGGGGCAGTGTCAGCTCCCTGGATTTATTCTAGAATCCCGATGAACAAGGTGAAGCATAGGATGTGGATGCTGGTCTGGACAGGTAGCTAGCAAGGATGTTTGTAAGAAAGCAAGACAGACATTCTGCTGCCCCATGTGCCAGTGGCCGTGCTGAGCCCAGATCCTTTGGTCAGGGGTAGAGAAGCCACTGTGCTATTGCAGAACAGCACATCCACTCCAGGGTGAAGACCACTCCTGTGAGCTCACCGGAGTTAGTGCCTACTTCACACGTAGACTCCTGAAGCCTGATGCTGATTTTGGCGCTCACCCTCCGGCTAAGACCTGGAGCCGGCATCAGGAGCCCCGTTCCTCCTGGCTGGGCCTTGTCTCCCATGGAGCCGTGTGGGTTCTGCCTCCTTGAGGGCTGGGCACAGATCCTGGTTGTGATCGTGCAGGTAACAAAACCCAGAGTCTGTCTTGCCCCTCATCCCTACTGAACTCTTAATGGACAAGAGACCCATGAGCCGCACACACTTCGGGGTGATAGAGGTGTCCCCAGCTACACTGCGAGGTGAGTGCCTTGCTGGAAGTCACCTGTCTGCTCTCGGGGCTGCTCAGTGACCGTCTCTGCACTCCTGAGCTCTCACAGGTTAAAGGGAGGGCCAGGTGGGCCATCTTGTTCCCTTTAGGGGTTCGTCAGTTACCTACTGGGGGCCAGCTGGACACACTGTTGTTGCATCAACAGCAGGGGTCTCTCAGAAGCATCATGGCTGGACCAGTTCGTGTATGAGATGCTTGTGTTTCACACACGAAGGGTGAAGGCCGCTGTGTGTGCTTGCACAGAGCCGGCTTTTGCACACTGCAGAAGCCTTGCTGTAGTGCGCCCGCCCTGGCATAGATGAGAACGAGACTCCCAGGGGACGGTAATGGGAAGGCTCTGGAGCCTCAGCGGGTCCTCCTGACACCCCCTCTCGGAGGAGCTGGTGCCATACCAGGGCCCTTTCTCTGCTGAGCCAGCCCAGGCCTGGAGTGGTGCAGGTTTGCTTGGGTGTG